GAAACTGCCCAGCCGGCCGAAGAGCAAGGAACAGACAACCCGTTGCAAATCGCTTCTAAAGGACCAGGTAGTGGATGCTCTGTGCAACAGACGAAAATTGCCCAGGGGTGTTGGCAAGAAAGCTATTCAAAAGACGTTTGTCAGCCGGCCCCATAAAGGTCGGCGTGAATTCTTGGGAAATCTACGTATGTTTAAGTACGCTTCTGGCCTCCGTTGCACTTAGTTGTTAATATACAAACGCCGAAGGGCTTCTCAGTAAAGTTGCAGAACTTCGATCTCGTCAAAGCTCAATATGTTGAGATCACATCACAGTTACTGAGACAAAGCTGAACGACGTGATTACAGATGCCGAGATCGCACTACTTGGTATGTAATTCTTTGCAGCGACCGACCCACAAAGGGAGGAGGTGTAATTTCCTACTACCGTTCCGACCTTCTCATCAAGTGCGTAAACGACCCTGGGATTCAAACGGTGGACGCCCTATGTTGCTGTCTACACCTAAGGCAGGGCCATAGATGCTTATTGTCCATTGTATACCGCCCACTAAGGTCCACTTTAGAAATGGATCAGGACTTATCATCCGCTATGAAGAATCTACTGGAATGACCTTACAGCCGCGTTCTCCTGGTAGGGGACTTCGATCTGCAAGGCCTAGAAACCCCGGCCAGTGGGTGAAGAATTCAAGGCGGATCTGCAGGAGCTAATCGCTAGTTCACCGCTGTACATCCACGTCACTTCTCCAACACGTTTCAGGGCAGGAAGCAAACCGGCCATCTTGGACCTACCTTTCACCAACAAGGAACCGATGATCGACATAGTAACGACGTGCGCTCCTTCGATATGCAACGATCACGTGACACTAGTGGTTCAATACTTGTGCTATGCTGAGTATCATAAAGCAAGTAATGTGAAATCTTACGTCATAACTAACTATGGTAACCTGTCCAAACTAATTACTGCGACAAGTTTGTCTTTCCTGACTGAATGGTCCCCTGTAGTGGCCTGCGGGGAATTTGTCAATAGATTCCACAAGCTCTTTGTAAGCGCAGCTGAAAACAAAATCCACCGACCAAAAATGATGGTCTTTCGTAAGCAGCAGAACCCGGAAACGCATGCCATTGAGGGACTTGACATGGTACGCCCAAATAGCCTCTCCGAGCGAAGATACATGGAGCGTCTATACTACACGAAGGAACCAATGGGTCAAACTCGTCCGGGAGGTTGAAATAAAGAATTAACAAGACCTTGAGGTAAAGTTTTGCTCTAACCCAAAGCTGCTATACAGACACGTAAACAACGCCGCGTTAAGCACGGGATTCCGGTTCTGCACACATTAGGCGGGTCAACACAAACGGCACAAGACGCGACCAACGTACTTGGACAACTATTTGGCGGTACCTTCCAAAGTGTGAAACCACCTTACACCATGTCTACATAGCCCATGCCGCCATCGGGCCTTTACCACCTATCTTCCAAAACCGCAGCTATAATAAAGCGGCTGATATCCTTGCGTGTACACAACTCCCCGGGTGCGGACGACATCCGCCCGAAAGCCTTGAAAGTTGACGCCATGAACTTATCTGAACCGTTAGCAACACACTTTCAATGATGTTTTAATGAGATGCTCGTCCCCTAGTGGTGGAAGTACGGGCACATCACTCCAATCTACAATAGTGGTAGCCTTGCAGAACCAGCGAATTATCGTCCGATTACACTTCTCCTGTTGATATCCAAGATCATGAAGTCCATGGTAGCTGACGTTCATGAAGTGCTTGGAGAATAAAAAGATACTCGTTCCGGAGCAGCGTGGATTTCGCCAAAATCGGTCAAACATTACTAATCTGTTGATAGCCCGTGCAAGCTGGACGGAATTTGTGGACGCCAATGTAGGAGTGGATACAGCCTACCTGGAATACTCAAAGGCATTCGACCGCCTGGACCATCGCATTCTACTGCACCAACTCCAGGATTATGGTATCGGAGATCCCGTTCTAGGATGGTTAGGCGACTTTCTCGTTCAACGTCACCTGAATGTGAGGATTTGCAACACCCTGTCTGAACCAATCGAAGTCCAATGCGGCGAAACCCACGGCTCGGTACTGGGGTCACGCCTGTTCTGGTTTTCATAAAAGCTTTTGCAACGGTGTTGTCTTCAAACTATCTTTATTTGCAGCTGAGCAGAAGAAATGGTGTGCTAGCGTTTCAGTGGAGGATCACATAGTCCTACAGGATCACCTGGACGAAGCGTACACATGGTCCATGTAGAACATGCTGAATTTCAACACCACAAAGCGCAAACTTCTGAGTATACGCCATCGGAGTACTCACGACTACCGCCTAGGACCAGAAATTATATAGTGAGCTTCTCATGAGTGCTTGTGCAAGAGGGTCTCGGGTGTTTGAGACAGACTGAAAACCCTCAAAGAAAGCAAGTCAACACTTCGGCCGTCTTCGTAGGGCGTGCAGAAAGTTTGACGCATCAGTCTTCCAAAAATGCTTGGCGCGTACGTGAGGCCGCATACAGAATGCGCTATTCAGACGTGGCAACCCTAGCAGAAGCACCACCTCATCGTGCTCGATACCGCACAACGCACGGCGATAAAGAACGTCAGATGTTTGTCTTGCCTTCCACATCCACTCAGGCTGAAAACGCTCAAAATATACAGTGGACGTTACCGGCGTTTAAGAGGTGATCTCTTACTGATGTATCAGATCCCGAGAAACCCCAACCACACATGCCAAGATCTTTGAAACTCAGTCAAAACACATCTCTAAGCGGTCATCAGTTTAAAGTAGTAACGTAATACAGCTGACTGGAAGCTCAGCGAAATTTCATCTCCCTCAGAGTGTCACAGCCTCGGAACGCCCTTCCGACAGATGTAATTAATGCTCCTACGTTGTCTTTTTACAAAAATAACGATACTCCGATACACTTTCACTACGTGATATAGCCTGTGACCATCAGATGATTGCATTAGTGAACAACAAACAGTGGACGGCATTATAACCTCCCTCAATCCAGGCAGGAATACTCGCTTATATGTTACTCCAAAGCCCTTGGTGAGCCATGCATTTCACACGTTCTTTTACTGACACGGTTTGTTTTATTTTGCGATTTTGATCCTCACCATCCTACGGGACATGTCAGGAAATCGCTTTCATACCCGTCCCAAACCATTGCTCCATTACTGAGCCCTCTTGCTAATGAATCTCACCAGAGTGTCCACCTCAGTGGGATGCGCAGTCGACTACTAGGCAGTGATGAGGAGAATATTCCCTTATGCCAACAAAATCAATGAGCAAGTTACATTGTTTAGGGCGCTTGCTAACTGTGCCGCCTGCTGCCTATTCCAGCGTATTAAGCGCGAGCCCAGGTAACCATTCCAGAAGGCAAAAAAACAAGTTGCACGGAAGCTTTTAGTTTTTACAGTAAAAGAGGCTCTTTTGGTTTAGCAATGAAAAAACGGCACCGTTGTTGCTGCTAGCTAGGGGGAAGGGAAATAATGCAGCACACAAGTGCAGTCGCGTGTCGCAAACAAAACGAGTGCCAAGTAACGACAGTGTTTGACTTAAACAATTGTAGTCGACCACTAGTTCAGCAATCCGCACCGATCGCCTAAGCGTACAATGAAATAATAATCATTGTTAGCAATTTACACAAACAAGCAGCGGAACCACCAGACTAAAACAGTTCGCGTTTTTATCGGAGCTAATACAACATGGGTAATCGCCGAACTGCGTTCGACTTGTCATCTATTCTCTTACGTTTAGGTTCTGGCGGCCTGTTTCTGTCTCAAGATACTAAGGAACATAGATTGCAACCGGAATCAGTGACGTAATGCCTGTCAGTTCCTATCCGTAACAGCGTTCTAGACTGCGTGTTATATAGCGTTATATGTGTGGCAGAGGAGACCGCCGGGGCAGTCTCACGAATGTCGTTGTATTTCCTCACACTAACCAACTGTTAGTCATTGTGTGAAGTTCGACAAGTGCAGCCGAATGCTTGTACAGATCAATTAGGTTTTCCATTTTCCTCTCATCATGTATGAATGGAAGAGAGTAACATCAAAGCGTAGGGACGAGAGAGAGAAACACCGAAAACTCTAATTTTTCGAATACCGTCCCAGTGATTGGGATGGCACAGCCTGACTACAAAGTCAAATCAAGCCACAAATGAGATTGCCTGTCGTGGCGGATGTGACTCGCCACTAAATAAAGTCACTGCTTCTTCCCATTTCCGGAGGAGCATTCACACATCACGAACATCATCCGACTCGAAGCGTTCCATTGATTTCCTCTTTGATGACGAACCCAAGGAACAAAAACACACAGAGTCACGTTTGCCTACTCATGCAACATGGCTACTTCCAAATACAGACCTAAACATACTTTTAAATGTCAACACACACATAAATTCCTACGCTATTTGTCAAAATATACTAATTTGTGCAATTGCCGATCATACACGTCTGTATTACCATGATCACGCCCTTGATTGCGTGCCTGGCAATGACGAGAATAAGCTATGTATTCATTTATTTATTTATTTAATCCAAAGCACACAGCGGGTACTCCGAAAGACAATTATTAAATTTCAGATAAATTACGGCTATACGATAGTAGGGCATCATTAGAAGTCGCCGGCATACTGTTACTGTCGATGAGGCCGATTTTTGCCATTGTTTGTTGTTTAGTGACATAAGTTGCTGGCTAGTTGATGTTAGCAGCTGGCCATCGTAAGTCCGGTTAGCCGTAAGGGACCGAGGCGATGTGCAACACTAACGAGTCACAATAGAGCAGAGAAATCGTGTGGCGGTTTTGTGTTTCGTACTTAAACTCTGTCTTGTGAAACACTGGGATGAATGGGTTAACAAATCCGTCTATTCATTAGCAATGTTTATGTGGTCGATTTGTGTCTTTTTTCGCTCAGAAGCAAACACCGAAATAACGTCAACCGGAACCTCTGTTTCAACATCCAAATGCTACTCTGCTAACTCACTTGTGCGCATTCTTCCAAGGTATGTCATTCAATTGGCTTATCTGGCTCTGTTCGGGCTTGTCACCACTAGGTGAGTTGTGGCGCAGTCTCACGGTCTTTTGCAGCCTATTCGAAGTGGTCCACTTTTCATCCATTGGCCATCGACGAACCCCGGCTTGCGGTCCTGGTGTTTTCAGGATGGACTTGTTAATTGCTGGCTTTGTAGCTTTGATCATCTGACCCATCGTAGGATTTTCGTTCTCATCTGGGGTGGCTGCGTAACGTGCACCTATGATGCACATATATAAACAGGTGCACATTGTGATCCCGATCAGCAGGCCCCCGAATACACAGGCCACGCGACCCGAAACTCGTAATAATACGGTTCCAGCTCTGTAGAACATAAGCGATGGGGATCGCACCGTACTTCGGATGTGGGAAACCAAAAAGCTACCTTTGTCAAAGGTGAAAATCTAATCGGGTTTCAGAAATAAGCAAAATGATCTATTTGAGGTATTTTTAAGTTTTTGTTGCCATTACATGTCGTAACAAGTAATAAGTTCATGTGACGGGTCACTGTCACTCACGGCTCAGTCCTTATCACGCAAAATGAAACAAGTAGACAAACATCCCGGAGGATCAGGAGAAATCGGCCCCGTAGAAAATCCTTATTAAAATAAAGCGGCCCTCTGGAACTTTTGTGGATATGTGGCGCATAGTTGTTTGGAGCCGATTGTGCTTAAGTATTTTAAAAACTCATGTTACTATGTTAGCTAGGTGGATAAAATCGGGTAGACGAATAGCTACAAGAGCATCTCACACTTGATCAGTCAAAAGTGATCAATGTTGCTGTTACAAGGCTGTCAGAGTCCTGCAAAACTCACTCGGGTTTCACAGGCGCCAGTAAACTGCGGGCCAGAACAACACGGCAGGTATGCAGAAACCCAAACTACCAAGTTCAGAGCAGGGCTTTCTACGCAAACAGCAGACAAGAGTCCACTCTGCTGCACAGATCACAATGTAGTTGTTCTCGGTGAGAACACCGTCAAAGTACCCCGCACCGTTTCGACTGAACTCCCCCCAGTTTCACTATCGTGTTTTTCGGACTCTTCCCAAGTCAACCGTCTGTCTGTTGAGCCGTGCGCATGCCAACCTCTTAGCCACCGAGCACACTAAGCAACTGTGCTGGGCCCAACTTCACAACAGCATCCAAATCACTCCATCTCGGTTCTGAGCTAGGAACACGACATGACAACTCATGTGCCAACAAAACATACAGCTTCCTTCTAGTCTATACAATTACTACTGTTTTAAGGAACTATAAATATAAAGGTGCAGAGAGCACGGTTGCCTTGCTTGAGTCAGTAATGCACTCTTACTAAAAGTCAGTCTTCTTTCTGCCGGTATTGGTACAGTCGTGCGGTCGTTACGAGTTCCGTCTTCCTTATCAATTGCGAGTTCTGCTCTGTCGGCTAAGTCCACTAGCCGTTCAAATACGAATCGTCTAGGCTACTGTGCGCGTAAGCAACAACGAGTGAAAATTTCGTCCGTTCCGACTAGGGCAGTCGAAACCCAACCAAGACATTAAGGAAAGTTTCAATATATTGGTAGAGGGTGCTAGAAACCTGCTTGTGAGACAACCTGCAACGACATTTTTCACTTACATTCTGGATCACTAGCCGTGCATCAATTGCAACTATATGCTCAGTGTTCCAACCAAAATCTATTTTGAATTTCTGTGTTCTGTCTCAAACCCATATGGTAATAAATTAGTTGTGCAAGGCTCAAGCTTCCAAAGATCCAAAAATGTAAATGATCTAGTAAAATTGCCCCAAGGTATCTGCCCGCGCAACTTTTGATGTAAGGTTGTCGCTTTCATTTTAAACTTCCCAATACTTATCCTAGAAGCGTTTCCTGGGAATTCCCTTCAACAGAAGTAGAACAAACGTCAACATCAAGGCGCACAGTGGATATGTGTATCAAAAATCCGCTATCTGACTACCAGGTGGATAGCAGTTCATGGGTAAAAGAAAGAGTATCCAGCGTCGAACAGGTTAGTTTTACTGTACAGGTTATAGGCGGCAGTATGTTGAGGAAATCGTTAAAAGAACCGTCCTGTGGATGCATCAAACGAATGCTTATACATATCTTACAGTTCGGTAGCGTATTGAAGAGGTGGTAGGCTACGATGGGAAATGCGGAGCAGACTACTAAAAATGGTGCGTCCACTTAGTCACTTAAGGGGCTGAATCTAATCAGACGCCAAAGCCAAAGAGAGAAACAGAACTCACCTATGAATATAACCCTTGCTCATCGAACAAAAGTGTAGCATAATCATGAGTTGGACAGTTCCGGCAGGGTCGAGGTGCTAAGCATAGAACGCATAGGGTCGGCATTAACACAGGAATGAGAGTTATTTATTACAGTTTATACGAGAGATTATCCACCGGACAGGCAACACTGCTGTCCACTGGACAGTTCTAGAAATGCAATTCGTTCACTCTCATTCCAAACCTCGTTAAGGGGGAGAAATCCTCAGCTATTGTGTCTCAATACGATGAAAATATGTGAATAAAAAGACAAAATCACAAAGCCACGAAGACTAAACAAAACGATTATGCCTTGTACGAGGGTAAAAAATGAGTTTCTGGGTGCACAAAAGTTTTACTTTTTACAACAAACTAAGCATTATATCTATTCGAGAAACTCCATACCAGCTTCCATGCACGGTTCCATGCGCTCAAACCATTTTGAGAAGCAGCTAGACTATGCCGAATTGGGTACCCCCCATAAGCAGCTCAACAAACGCCTCTACTGCAGCCTCTGAAGACTCGTAGCGGATTCCACGCATCATTCGCTTGACATTTGGGCACACACAATGTCATACGAAGCCAAGGTCTGGATCGTAGGATCCTGACCAGTCTCCTGGATGTATTCTCTAGCCAGAAAATCTACGACGACAACGGGACTGTGTGCAGGTGCGTTGTCATGGTGCAGCAAATTTTCTCGTGCTCGAGTCCTTGGACGACGAATAGCCACAGCCTCCAGCACTTGTAGCAGTCAGTGGTTGGTATACTAGTCTCCGGTGAATGTTCGTCGCCGTAAGAGCAGCACAATGGCCACACAACTGGCCTTGGCCACAAACACAGTCACTATCTGCTTGGGCACACTGCGCTCACGCCGGAATTGCTGAGGCGGCGCCCCACCGAATTCGGGAGACTTGTACTAATAGATGATTTACACAAGTTGCTAGTGAAACATTATGAGCAGGGGACTGTCCCGACCGACCGGAGGCGCTCCGTCATTGTCCCCATTTTCAAGGTGAGCTCCCGTTCGGAAGGCGGCAATCATAGAGGAATCAGCCTGATTTCATTCGCATCTACATTGTTTAAGTCTGTCATTATCCACAGACTGGCACGCGTGAAAGCCATATCCGTAATGTGCAAGCCGGGTTTCGTCACGGTCGGGGCTAAATCAAGCAAAACTTCACCTTGCGTCAATCGTTGGAGCACCGCCAGGTTTATTGCCGACCCACCGTTGTCATGTTTCTTGACATAAAAGGTGCCTTCGACTCAATCGATCGATGTGCCCTTTGGGACTGTCTGCTGAGGAAAGGGGTGCCTGATAAATATGTAAACATTATCAAAAGGCTATACGAGCATAGTTGGGCAGGGTGAGAGTTTATGGCAAACTGTCACCACCCTTCAGTATCACCAGCGGTGTGAGACAGGTTGTCCGCTCTCACCTTTCCTCTTTAACTTCGCTAGTGATGAAGTCATGGAAACAGCATTTGCTGCACGCGACCTAGAAGGTGTGGATCTACAGCCTGGTGAGCTAGTTCTTGACTTTAGTATGCGGACGATATGACCCTAATCTGTAACAGCTCCCAAACACGCCAAGCAGCAATGGACCGATTAGTACTAGCTGTCTATCATTTTTAGCTATGCTTTGCTCCATCGAAATGCAAAGTACTTATCCAGGATTAGCAGGGACCCACCCCTCCGCTAACGCTTTGTGATGATCTGCTAGAAGTCGTTCAGGAATTCAAGTACCTGGTCAATTATATTAGCGCCCGTGGGATGGAAGATGAGCTTATGAACCGCATAGCAGAAGCTCGAGTTGCTTATGCCAGTCTCCGCCACTTGTGGCGCAGACGTGAAATTACTCTTGCCCTGAAGGGCAGATTTTATGATGCAGTCGTCCGTTCAACTCTACTAAATGGTTGTGCAACCTGGCCCATCAGTTCGACGGACATAAAGTGGCGCATCACATTTGATCATCGCTGTCTTCGCAGCATAGCTCACATCTGGTGCTAGCACCGCGTGAGCAATGAGCATGTTCGGCTTCGCGTATTTGGTGTAGGAAGAGCGAGTGAACCGAGCAGCACCATTATGTCACGCACCAGGCTCCGATGATTGGGCCAAGCGTTGCGCATGCCAGTACACCGACTCCCGCTACGTGCATTGTTTACGCGTTGGGGTTGCGGTTGGAAGAGGAGGATTGGAGGCCAAGTAATGACTTTGTCGAGAAGAATGAAAACCCTCACTTCGAAACTGGCGTCGGTTGGTGCATCGCGACTTCCTGGCTGAGGTTCTAAGGACGATGAACAGGTTTGGGTGGACAAACTTGCTGATATTGCGAATGGCCGACCCCAGTAGCGTTTGTGTTGTGAGCTTCTTTGTCCACCTTCCTCCTTCTTAGCGTCTCCTCCAATTAGTATCGCATTTGTTAGGCATAACAACTTTTTGCGGCACGATAGCCTGCTGTTAGCTCTCCGGAGCGAGGTCCTTTCGTTACTGCGGAGTCAGCCGCCGTGCCACTGTGATTTTCTTCTTGTATTGCGTCACAATCGCCGAGGTGTTTTCCTCCTGTAGCTAAGTGTATAATGATCATGATGCCCCACCAACGGCCGTCCACTGAAGCGACTTTTGTCATGTCTGTGGGTCGAACTCGTGCACTCAGGCCTCATCACCACTACGGATCATCCATACATCAATGGAACGTCCGCCATCAAAGCTAGCAAGGATGGTGCGGCAACACTTCATTGAGCTGATAGGGTGCCCAACGTGCGTTAACCTTCTGAGACCGAGGTTCTCATGTAACATGATACAGATTGATCCTGATGAAGTCTCGATGGCTTTTCGCAACTGTATCACAGTCACAAGCGCGTCATCCACCAGCATCGCTTACACGGCAGCAACGTTGTCCGCCTTGGTGGCCTCCACAGGTCGGCCACACCGTGTGCCATTAGCTAGAGACCACCTATCACGCCTGAATTCTGTAAATCACGCACACACGGTGGTTTTTGAAGGCGTATTATCACCAAACACAGCATACAATCGCTCAATCGGGTGCTGATTTAAATCATAATTGTAGACAAAATGTTCATCGTC